GGCACCTGGCCCAGCCTGTGAGTGGGAGAGGGTTTCTCCGTCCCTTCCCCAGCCAAAGGGAGAGGGGGTGAGGAGGCTTTCGATCGGGGAGTCAGGCTGAGGTTTACCATTGCCGTATCCTGGAAAACAGCTCCGGTTACTGGGGAATGTCAGCAGGCTAGGTAGGCAGCCTCCGCCGGAGGGCACGGCGCTCGGTTCTGTGTCCGGGGGTCGGGGCTGGAGTGTGGCACTGCCGCCGGAAAGCCTGCGGAGGTCTGGGTTGTGCAGCCGAGCAGGACAAGGTGTACCTTTCTAGAGCCACCCTTTGCAATCTTGAACCTCGTAAGTATTCTCACAGCGCCATCGACTTAAAATGAGCCTGGAGATGTTACTGGTTAATTGTAGATCTTACCATGCAGGGTGTTGGATTTGGGGAAGTGTTTTGCGGGCCTCGACTAAACAAACACTCTCTTTAATTAAAACATGCGTTCATGCAAAATCCTGCTGAATAAATAGTCTGTCTGCATAAGCAGATTGGCCACCGAAATGCGAACTCAGGCCTCTGATTCAGTTGTACTTTATGGATCTTTTTGAAAAAAAGGGAACACATTTATTTCATAAAATTAAATAGGACATTTACATTAGTGTTGATGTTACATGCGTAAAAATATTTTAAGTAACTAATTCTAAGTGATAAAAACCGGTTGTTGTGTAAATTATTTAACAAGATGTTCAGATTGGTGGGTGGTGGTTTAGGATTAAATATACAAGTAAGATTAAATTTAGATCCAACAAGGTTCAGATTTCTGTCGTTATTTCTAATTGAATACAAACTATGGAAAATAAGACAGCTTCATTTGATGAAAATGGAATTTAAATTTTGGAATATTAGAGATCAGAAACATGTCACCCACTGAGTTGCCCAGATTCTTTCTTTTGGGTTTTGGTTATAAGCAGCTGCCTGGTTTTCCAGAAAATATGACGTTTTTACGCAAACCTCTGACTTTGAAGTGTACCGTTTAGTATAGCATCTTACATAGCTTTCTGTACTTAAAAAGTACAGAAAAAAAATTCTTCCTAACCAAATATTAACAAGTCTAATTATAGGCTATAATTATTTTTCAGACCCACTCTCAAATCCTTGTCTCCAAGAATATGTTATCGCTTACAACTCTGCCCTCTAAAAGTTCAAAATTTAAAGTACAGTGTTCTATTTCTGTAAAATAAGTTGATCACAATGCATTAAGCATGTCAGCTACCTAACCTGTAAAACAGGTCAAGGTAGTATTTCCTAGTGGAATGGTGTTGTGAGGATTAATGGTAAATCAGCACCTGCCACATTGTTTATATGCCATGTGTAGCCTCTTTCTGGTTCTGTTTCTTCTGTTATAACTGAGGTTTCTTTCCCTTTTTCTGTGTTCTGAGATGCAGAGTCTCTCTGAAAACTAGTAATCGTGCCGGGTTGCTAGGTAGGGTGTACTGGTTTAATCAGGATTGCTGCCGACTTGGAGAGAATAGAGTGTTATAGTAAGGAGTGAGGTAACTGGGCATTTGGGGCACTTATAATATTAAGATCATATCTTAGAGATCATCTAATCTAATCAAACCTTCATTTTATAGCTTACGAATGGAGACCCAGACAAATGCAGTGGCTTGCCCCAAATCGTGTTGCACAGTGTTAAGGTATAACCAGTGGTTCCCAATCCTTGTGCAATCTAGAATCCCTTTGTAATATTTTGAAAGATTATATCTACTCAGCTATATTCATTGTTTTTCTTATGAAAATCAGGCCTATAGCTACCAATCAGAGTCTTTGATGAACATGTGGTGAAGAATAATGCTTTGCTGAATTTAAGTCTCCTGACCTAAAGATGGGTGATATTGCCTCACTGGGAGAAAAAATAAAATACGTTGCTTTTTTGAATATCGAAGTTACTTAGAGACCCCCATTACTGTTTTCATAAAACTTTATAAAAACCTTAGATTAGGAACTGCTGAACTGTGCCCTGTTCTTGATGCATTGTGATCTGCCCAATCTTTTTTGAATATCGAAGTTACTTAGAGACCCCCATTACTGTTTTCATAAAACTTTATAAAATCCTTAGATTAGGAACTGCTGAACTGTGCCCTGTTCTTGATGCATTGTGATCTGCCCAATTGTGCTAAATAATAATGACTATGGTTGGTTTTCAAGAGCAAAAGAAAATCCAGCTATTCAGAATAGAATGATTTAGAAATAGTATCAGTTCATAGTAAACTGTGTCATCCCAGAACTAAAGATGTGTTCACACAGAATTTTTTGTAAATAATTGTGGGATGGAATAAACCTGAACTCCAGAGATGGAGGGTATATGAAATGAAGAAGAAGGTGCTGTTTAAAACCACAGAGAAACAAGGGACTACAAATCATTTACATTTTCCTCAGGGCTAAAATGACTAAATTAAAAATTATTTGGGTTACAGGCTAAAAAATGAAAGCTTATGAATTAATACATTGGCTGTTATATGGACCCAGCTATAATCTATGCTGAAAAAATTAAATTTCTTTTTCTCTGGTATTCCACATCTCTTGAGAGTGGCCGAGTGAATTTTCACAGTTAGAGGATAATTTGAGATTATCTGCTTTAAAATAAAGAAATATACTCTGAAGGGCATGAATGAGAGACACTTCAAAGAAATAGAGAATCATCCTCCAGAGCAGCCAAAACAGGAATAACGGGAGGCCTAAGATGGTGCCAATTGGAAAATGTATGAATGACATGTATATGCTATGAATAGAAAGTGTTTTCAAACAAAATCCCAAATCGAAAGTCACTGAGCAGCCACTCCATATTGGCTGATTTATGATTGGGCTGCTTCTTACATGGCAACTCCATTTTGTAGGCTCCATGGTGAGTGGCCAGCAGTTACCTGTGTTTATCAGTAGCTACTGAGTCTCCCTTGTATTTGTTTTTTGTTTTTGTTTTTTTAACAGTCACAGGAAAATGGCACACGACTTTAAAGGTTTTTGGGAACTGAGTTCAGAAACATACCTCATTTGAAGTTTGCCTTTTTTTAGGGATTTAGAGGTTGATTCCACTTTTCTAAAGTTACTTTACTTTTTTTTTTTTTCATTTGGATACATTCAATAAATTGTCATTTCAGGCAAATATCATATTGAGGACAGTTCTTAATGCCACATCAGCAGGAGCTAAAAGTAGATAATTTTGAGAAAGTCCATCAAAAATGAATAACTGCTTGAAGGCTGATGAGGAAAAGCATGCCCTCTCCAAGGCAACTGAGACTGCTCCCCAGGCAGAAGCATGTTTGTTTGCCCAGAGCATATAGTGTTACTCCACAGAGATGCTCCAACAGTGGTCCCGCAGGAGACCTGTGCCTCTGCCCATTGGAGAGGCACATGCCTTTCATGAGGAGTCACATGTAGTGTCCAGAATGAGTGGTACTTGGCTGCTGTGCTATGTGTGTAGCTATCACTCCATGAAGCTAGGGATTTTTGCCTGTTTTGTATACTTCTGTCCTCAGAGTCTTGAAAAGTACCTGGCACACAGTGGGCAAGTAAGAGATGCTATGGACAGAATAAGAACCAGTGGTTTCTAACATAGACCCCAATTATGCTAAGAAATCTAGCCCTGAAATTTGTAATTGTCCTCAAGTCCTTAAATGGATAATGAGCCTAAAGGTATATTATACACCAACGGCAATGTCATGATGGAGCTCATTACTGCTGCCCTCCTTCTGCTCCTCAAAACAATAGAAATATTTTTATTGATATTTTAACTTTTGTTTTCCAGTATTGGTGTATTTTACATGATGTCCTTTGTGAAATCATTCTATCTCAAGAGGACCTCTCTCCCATCTTTGTCCACAGTCCAGATTTAGGGATGGATCCAGGTTTTATGGAGCCTGGAGCTTTATATAATTTTGTGTCTCCTCTTTTTAAAAAAGAATGCAAATTCTAAATAGAAAATTAGGTACGGTGCTTGGGAAGGACCTGTGCAAATGAGGAGCGTTGAAACTTATTTATTTCTCTATTCAGAAAACCAAATACAGAATTTTTTTATAGAAACTTCACATCAGACTTTGGAAACCAGGGAAGTAAATGATTTGCATCAATTGCTAAATAAATGCACCACAGATATTAGAAACCTCAGAACTACCTCATAAACCCTGCCACTCATAGTAGAAATGGTAAAAATGCAATACATGGCTACAGAAATAATAATAGCAAAAATAACAACATTGATTGAGCCCCTAAAACCTTTTAGACACTGTGTTGAGTGGCTTATCTCATTTAATTCTCAGAATAACCCTATAAGCAGTATAATTATTCCTGTGTTACAGATAAAGAAACTGAGGGTTAGAAATGTTAAATGATTTCCTCAAACACTAGTAGGTGGCAGTCAGGATTTGAATTAGAGCAGTTAGATGCCAGAGACCTTCCTTTTAAAAGCCAAGAGAATATTTTGGTGAGGATGTTTTCAAGAGCCAACAACTGATTAGCCTAGACCAAAACCACAAAAAGTAAGATCTGATTTCTTTGGAACTGGAAGAAGGTCCTTAAAAGGTAACAGAAATTTGTTATTCAAAGTAATGCAAAATTCCTGATGCCTTTGTCTCTGAGAGAATGGTGATGATTTTCCTACTAGGTTAATCATAATATGGGACAGAAAATTCAGGAAAACAGATTTCTGTCCTTCTATTTTATTCCTTCAGTTGGACAGTAAATCATGAGTGGTACAACCAACTTCTCTGTTTTAGACCTCTTCTGAACAGACTGGTTTTGGCTCAGTATGTGTGCTCAAGTAGACTGCCATAGAGATCCCTGGTGAAAATGTGCTCAATTATCATCATTTTAGCAAATGATTACAACTCTTATTTTTAAAATCATTATTATTAAACTTAACAATAATGATTCTCTCTACCAATGGGCTATGTAGGTAATGTTAAGTATTATCCTGAACTTTAACATTAGTTTCCCAGATATAGAATTGTTTCTCAAAAAAGCTGTATATTTTTGTTAAATTATGTTTATTTCAAAATAAAAAACTAAGCCTTCCTTTTTACTACCACACCATCCTCAAACTACTAACACAGCTTACAATTTTTTCTTTAAATAATTGTTTTCCTCCTCCTTAAACAGTAAGCCCCCTGAAAGTTTTATACATTAAAATATAGGTGAAACATCCAACTTTATCTTACTCTAATTGGTTAGCTTGAAATATAATATTTTAATTCTTAAATTGCCTACAGAGTATATTGTTAGGCTCCTAACATTTTTGAGCAATAAATGTTTTACTGAATTTTTTTTTTTTAGACAAACTTACTCCTATTAGAGAATCAAGGTTTTATTTTCTTATCTGTAGGTGTGTGTTATAACAAACTTGTTTAAACTGCTTTTAAACTTTTTTTTTGCTTACTCGAATGCGGATTTTAGTTCTTTTAATATGGAGCATTCATCCCATTTGAGATTAAAAAAAAAAAAAAAGTTTAGATAGACTGTTTCCAAACAGGTTTTTAGTGTGTCTAAAAGACCCACTTGTGTCTTTTAGTGTGTTTAAGTGTCTTTCAGTGTGTTTAAAATCATTTCCATGGCTACTTTATATGTCTAAATTCATCTCTTTCCTTATAGAAGAAAAGATGTGGAGTGGGCTGCTGCCTCCTGGTCTAAATGAAAGTGATGTTGAGTCAGATTCTGAAGATGAAGCCACATTAGAGAACTCTGGACTTAACTTACCAGAAGATAAAGAGGATGGGACCATTAGAAAAACAGAAATGTCAGATTTCCCAACAGATGGACCAAAAACTGAAACAGCGGCAAATGTAAATGCATATGAAGAGTGTCCTTCTGGAATTCCCTTAAATATGTGGAATGTAAGTTTTCTCTGATATGCTCTTATTAAAGCCTGTGCGTGTGTGTCTGTGCATGCACTTCTGTATGTCTCTGCCACAGAGTGTGTATGTTCTCGGGACGTAACAGGCAAGATGGACTCAGAATACTTTGACTGTTCTCTGAGCCACATTGGCCACTTAGATATTTGCTTTCATTTTTGTTTTGTTTTTCATAAAAAGAGAAAGGACAAAAAACACCACATACGATTAGCTATTCTTCCTAGCAGGATACGTGAGGAGTTTCTGTCTTTCATTTTATCTCTTTGTTATCTATAGAGTCATTGTGTTTCACTCAGATTATCAAACAACTTATTTTGAAACAAATGAATATTAAAACTCAGGTCGTGAGAGTCTCAGAGACTAGAGTATCTCAAGAACTGAATTGCTCATAAGTTTCTGTAGTGTAGTGGTTATCATGTTCGCCTAACAAGAATTGAACTACTTTCATTAAATTGATAACTGCCAGAATATAACTATTTTCATTACTTAACTCATTTCTAATTTTTTGAATTCATGTTTTTCTTCAAAATATATTTACTTCTCAATTTTTTTTTCTCTTACATAGAAATTTCAAGAATTGCATAAAAAACATTCTGAACAGAAAACCTCAGCCTCAAGATGCAGAAGGAAGAAAAGAAAACGCTCCAGAAAAGGTGTTTTGTTTTCATTCAGGTTATCAGTAGTGCAAATGCTAAATTGTGACTAATTGGGCCGGCTCGTGGCTCACTTGGGAGAGTGTGGTGTTAGTAACACCAAGGCCATGGGTTCGGATCCCTATATAGGAATGACCAGTTAGCTCACTTGGGAGAATGTGCTTCTGACAACACCAAGTCAAGGGTTAAGATCCCCTTACTGGTCATCTTTTATAAAAAATAAAGAAAGAAAGAAATTGTGTCTAACTGAGGTCAACAGTTTTTTAAAAACATGATTTTGAAATAACAACTGAATACTTAGGTATTAACATTTTGTAAATTCTTTTCAGGTAAATTGAAGAGTGAAAAAGAATTTCACAGGTAGGTAGAATTTAAAATAGTTACTTATTCTAGGCAGCATTGTAGAAATTGTCTAAATAGTTGAACTACTTAACTCTAGAACTAGTAGTTGTAATGTAATTGTAGGAATCAGTTAAAAACAGTAAATAAAAATAAAAGTGAGTACATTTTATATAAAAGAAAACTTCTTGTCTGTCCTTTTGCAGTGAACAGTCCTCAAATGAAACCCAGTGGAAGGAGCTTACTCAGTATTTTGGAGTCAATGATAGATTTGAACCCCCTGTTAAAAAGAAAAAAGTTGACAAGGTAAGATTTTTTTATTACATCCTATATTAGCTAGTAGGATATGTTTGTGATTAGCCTCACCTAAGGTACTTGTCCTTATTAATTCATTTAGTTAAAATACCTACTGCGTACCAAAAAGATGATAGATAAACAAGTAAATATGTAGTTAGAAATCATTTAAAAACTGTTAAGAAGGAAAAGAACAGGTAGTTGTGAAGAAATTGAAATAGAGTCCCCTCTTTAGCTTGGGTGGGCAGGGAAAGCCTTTCTTAGAAGATGCCATTTCACTAAGATCTGAAGGATGGGTAGAAACTGTCTCCATGAAGCATACTAGTACAGAGGTAGTCGCATGGGTACAAATCCTAGGAAAGGATGAGCGGTCCTGGGACGCTGGAGTAACTGTAAGAAGGCCAGCCTGGCTGGAGGCAGTCGGTGAGCAGGAGGGTAGCCCAAGGTAAGATTAGAGAGGCAGGCAGAGACCAAGCCGTAGGACCCCAAAGAGCATAGAAAGGAAATGGGTTTTATTCATAGTGCAATTGAGAGTCATTAAGGGGTTTTAAGTCAAAGGAGCAACACGATTTAATTTGTGTTTAACAAGATTGTCCTGGCCGTTCTGTGGAGAACGGATTGCGGGGCTGGCAAAAGTAGAGGAGAAGAGAGCAGTAAAGAGCCTCTCCTAGGTGTCAGCTAATGCTGGATTGAACAAGATCAGAGCTGCTGAAGGTGGAGAAAAGTGGATGGATCTGATGTTTAGTGTAGGAGTAGAATTGACAGTATTTGCCTCTGGATTCTTGTGAGGTGGTGGGGAGGGTTTGGGGCAGAAGCGGGGAGAGAACCATTCAGGGTTTTACCTCAAGCAGTGATGTGAATGTGATGTTAGTTATGAAGGTGAGAAAGTTTAGGGGGGATAAGATTTAGAATGGAACCTATCCCGAATTTAGTTTGGGGAATGGGTGTTATTGGAAAGCGGAAACAGACCAGATGGTTAGTAAAATGAGGTAGGGGCTTAGAGGAGAGTCGAGATACACATTTGGAGTTGTCAGTCTATGGATATATTAATACTTAGCAAAGGCTTGAATTAATGAGTAATTTATGTATTCACCCAGGGGAATGTTGACAGGCTCTAGGAGCATGAAAGTCAAGTGCTGAGTGGTAGGGCTAGAGGCACAGTGGGCTAGTTGAAGCCCAAGTATATTGTATTGGGTGTGTAGAGACAGATACCTCTTTTGTGGATCACTGTTGTAGATTATTGTGTGTACTTAGACACCCTTGTCATTTTCTGATTACCTGGTATTTCTTGTGAAAAACCTCTGATTTTAAATCCATCATTGGGTGGTATTGTGTCACTGAGGGTGCATATGTTAAGGAACTGTCACAACAGAATTTCACATGTGAATCTTTTGATTCCAACCTTGTAAGTACTTTTTATCATCCAAAAATAGTCCCTAGAACACTGGGGAATTAGAACCAGGATCACTTTCTGCCACAACTAATTACTGCTGCTTAACAATCTTCTTTTTACAAGTTTTCAAGCAGATACAGAAATGCTAAATTTCTACAAAGAAAGATCACTAGTAGAGTTGAAACTAAGACTCAGGTTTCATGACGCTATTCTCAGTTCCCCAGGCTCACTGCAGAAGGGGTGGGAACCATTTGAGAGTGTAATTGCCGTGCTCTTGATACTTGTGATTCTGTTGGGCTGAGAGAAGGGGCTGTGTGAACGTGGATGCTCTTGACTGTACCAAATCTCTTCTAAAGCATCAGGGAGGAGAATCACACTGACGGCCCTGGTCCACGTGCCATCTCTGGCAGACCTGCTGTAGTTAAATATTAAATATTGTTATGTTAGATATTAAACATGGTTAAATATTGGTTCTACTAGGAAATTTTTTGTGAAGTTTTACTTGTGAATACTTTGATTTCCAACAATTTTCATTGTTTATGTTTTCTCATAAATGTATTGACTTTAGAATGTCTAAATTGCTTCTTAGTTAAGTTAAAGCCATGAAATGAACTTTTTAGCAATTCTAAAAAGAAGAAATATAGAGAATATTTTTTGCGATCTATCTTTATTAGAATTTTATTATTATCCTACTTATGAAATTGTACCTTCTTGATACTGGCCACATATGGCTAACTCTTACTCATCATCTAGAATTTAGAATCTGTGGAGTTACTTTTTTTTTTTGTCTTTTTTGTCTTTTTCCGTGTCCGGCAACGGATCGCAACCCTCAGTGTTGCCCCCGTACCGGACCGGGGACCGGCAACGGGATTGCAACCCT